AATGAATGAATGAATGAATGAATGAATGAATGAATGAATGAATGAATGAATGAATGAATGAATGAAAGGCCTGATTGGAGAGAAGACAAATTAGACTGCAGTGTGCAGGGGAAGGCTTTAGCCCTCTTGCCTTCATCATGTTCCACCACACCTTCTTGCGTTTAAAGGGAAATCTCTAAGGGACACCTTGTCACAGTCTTAAGACCAAGAACGTCTGCTCTCTTGCCATCTTTTGTCAGCATGCTGGTTTATGTGTTATCTTGCAGGTCAAACTGAAAGTGTGAATAATTGTTACAACCTCTCAGATTTATGCTTTTGGGTTGTGGTAGGCTATTACTAAATAGTCTTAGCCCAAGGGTTTAAGTGAAGATATTCGGTATTTACCCTTGATTTAAACATGTCTCTCTTTAAGAATGTTTCCCTTGCAGCTCACAATCCCTTTTGCACTACAAATCAAAAAACTGCTCTCAGCCTCAGTTGGTTCTGCAAAACACTCTGGTCAATTCCATACGGTAAAATATTTCTGTGCCTTATTTTGTCTTTAAAGGAATCTTTTTTCTTTTTCTTTTATTTTCATTCCCAATAGAGATAAATAGTTGCTACATGTTTTAAGAACATTGATATTCCTTGTAACTAGTCATTCTTGTTTTCAGTAGGGCAATATTCTTGCATTTGATATCTGAGGTCCATAAACAGATTTTTTGGTAAATAATTTGTATGAAAATAGCAAGTTTATTCTCTTTCAGATTTTTGCTGAATTCCTTTAAATGTACACAATGACCCATTTAAAAAAATATTGTTATATCATATATGTATTGTCCAAGTTATTTTAGCATCCTTTTTTGTACTGTTTCTATTTTCACAGTGCTCTTGAAAAATTTTGGATTTTCCAAAATCTGCTGGGATGGATAAAAACTCTTTTACTGGAATGCAGGATTCCTCCTGCCCTCTTTCATTTAACAAGTAGTCCTGCTGCTGCATAGTAAACAGGAGTGCCTGCAGGGAGGAGGTAAAAAAAATCAAGATGATGGCTACAACCATGCCCTGCCCTTTTTTATGTGCGTTGTGATGTAAAAGTGTGAATCTTTGATCACACGGTTGTGGCCACTATCTTGACTTGTTTGGCCCCCTCCCTGCAGACACCGCCAATAGAAAGCGAGCCCATGTATCAAGGGAGACAAATTGTTGACACTCAAGAAAAACTGCACTAGAGGAAGGGCACCAATTTGCCGGATTCTGCTTTGCAGCATCTTTAATATGATGCTTCATCTGCCCCTTGGGAAGAACAGCAGAAGAAACCAAAGCTACTGGGAGGACCTGGGATGTTGGTTTGTCCACAATGGGGTTGGCAAGGCAGCCTTCAGTAAATCCTGACTCTTCTTTGGCTCCAATTGTTTTCTTTTGCAGGAAATCTGTATGGAGAGAAAAAACAAAAATGTCCATTGTGGGGGAAAGGAGCATACACAGTGGATGACTTCCAAAACATCATGGGAAGCTGGACTGGTCTGCTCAGTTCTCACAAATTAACACCAGTGAGTCACGCAAAGCTTTATGGACTCAGAGTCCTAGCTTTCTGTATAAGTCCAAAAGGGCCTAATACCCATTCCTAAAGTGACAGATCAGACAGAGAATTGCTACAAAGAGCATGTGGATATCATGTCCCTCACTGGCTGCTTTTCCTCTTCAACTGCTATTCAGAGGTTTACTGTCTCTGATCCTGGAGGTGATACCTAGTCATTGTGATTAAAACTGCTTCATTTTCTATATAAATATATTATAACTGGAGCCTTAGCCTCTGTAATTTGCTATTTCTTCAAGCCCCTCTCTTCATAGCCAACAGTGAAATTAAGGAAGGGAGGAGAGAGAGGACACATTGTGCGTACAAAACCTTTGGAGGTTATACCTGGCCCCCTCACTGGAAGATCTGTTGCTCTTAATATATTCAGAGAGAGTGAATACACCTTCATCAGTTGCTCTTTCTTCGGTGATATTCACTCATTGTACACGTAGTCCTTGACTTACTACCTCAATTGGGACCAGAACTTCCATCACTAAGTGATGCAGTCATTAAGTGAGTCATGCATAATTTTATGACCTTTTTGCCATGGTCATTAAGTGAACCATGCAGTCATTAAGCAAATCCTGCTTCCCCCATTGACTTTGCTTGTCAGAAACCCTCTGGGAAGGTCACAAATGGCGATCACGTGACCCTAGGACACTGCAACCGTCATAAACACATGTTGGTTTCCAAGCACCTGAATTTTGATCACATGACCACGGGACGCTGCAATGGTCATAATGTAAGGACTGGTTGTAAGTCACTTTTTTCAGTGCCATCATAACTCTGAAGAGTCGTTAAACAAATGGTTGTAAGTTGAGGACTACCTGTATTACAGATATTACATGCAAGCTAGATAGAAAAGAATACTTTTTTTTAGAATTGTAAGATTCCATAGGAATTAATTAAGGCATAATTTTTTCTATCTGTATAGGTGGCTTTGATTACTTGAAGCAAGGACTTTGGGGGATCGGTAGTGGGAGTAAAGGGCAGAAAAGATTGCTGGGTCTGCTATTTGTAGAAAAATAGATATTTACAACATAGTGTAAACTCTCAAATTTCTGCAGAAGTTTCTTTGAAAGAGCTGCATTGGATTTTACATTGCCGCTACCTGAAATGTGAAGTTATTTTCGACATGGCAGGGACTTGTGCATTTGTATGTATCATTCATACTGTGAGAAGCTATCCTGGCAAATAGAGAATTTTCAAAGCACCTCACAGTTCTTAAGAAGTTGTTAAAAAAAAAATTGCACAGCTCAATTTCTCTCATCACCAATTTTTAATTAAGTGAGCAACTCCATCATCATTAAAAAATGTATGGCTTAATGCCAGAATCACCATAGGCCTAGAAATAAAAATGACAAAAGAGAAGCCTCCCCAAACAAAACAGAAACAAAATAATTACTGAAATTTATATTTAATAATCTCAATTTTTCCTTTCTCAGGGTTGTGAAATTATTGTATTAGATAGGGAAGGCAATATTGACTGAGAGAATTTTAAACAATTAGCTGGAAGATTCTTATCTGGCTCTCATTGATTGCTTGATTATGAGCCATCAAATTGGTGTTGATACTCAGTGACCTCATAGATAGACCTTCTCCGGGATGATCTGTCCCAACCTGGCTCTTCAAGTCTTCCAATAGTGCACCAACTGCTGTTGTGTTTGAGTCCATCCACCTTGCTACTGGTTGTCTTCTTCTCTCTTCTTCCACTTTTCCCAGCATTATGGATTTCTCAAGGAAATTGGATCTTTCGGCCAAAGATAACGTAATGGGCCAAAATATTATCATTTGAGCCTGGTCATTTGTGCTTCAAGTAGGAACTCTGCATTGATTTGTTCTATGAACCATTTGTTTGTTTTTGTGGCTATCCATAATATTCTGAAAAGCCTGCTCCAATACCAAAGTTCAAAAGTGTCAATATTCTTTCTATACCACTTCTTCAAACCCCAACCTTTGTTTCCAAATAGTATCACGGGGAAAACTATTGTCTGCTTGCTTACGATCTTTGTAGGTGCAGACATACCACAACGAGTGAATATTTTTTCCAAAGTCTAATTGCTACCCTACCAAGTGCTGGCCTGCAGCATATTTCTTGACTGCTGGTTCCTTAATTGTTGACAGTTGTTCCTAAAAAGCAGAAGCTATCCACCATTTCAATATTTTCATTGTCATTTCTAAGGCTGGTTGCCATACCTGTTGTCATTTTTTTGTTTGTCATTTAATCTCAGTCCCATGTTTTCACTTTGCTCCTTGACTTTCATTAATAGTGCTTCCATATCATTTGCCTTTTCAGTTATCAGAATAGTGTAATCAGCATAGCACAGTTTATTTATGTTTCTTCTCCCAATTTTAAAACCCCACTTACCTTCTTCCATCCAGCCTCCTTCAATATACAGCTAGTTTATAGGTTAAATGAATTAGGAGAGAATATACAGTTCTGTCTCACTCCTTTGCTGACCTGGAGCTAGTCTGTTTCATTATGTTTTGTCTGGACTGTGGCTTTCTGTCGTGTGTATATGTTTCTCATGAGGACAATGAGATGTTTTGGGATTCCCATTTTCCTTATCACAGCTTGACATGGTCAACACAATCAAAGAATTTTCGATAATCAATGAAACACATAATTTACATTTATTTACTTATTTAGTATTTTTTGGCTTTCTCAATTATCCAGCATGCATCAACAATGATGTCTCTTGTTCCTCAGCCTTTTTAAAAATCAGCTTCAACATTTGGCATTACTCTTTCCATGTAGGGCTCTAAACTGTTTTGGATGATCCTAAGCATTATTTTGCTAGTGTATAAAATTAAGGATATTGTGTAGTAGTTTCCACACTCTGTTAACATTCTTTGGCACTGATATGTAATCTGACCTCTTCCTTGGCCATTATGTCTCCAAATTTGTTGGCATACTTTGATTAGAATCTTTCCTGGTTCTTCTTCTGTTGCTTGCCATATATTGATAGATATTCCATCAATTCCTGTAGCTTTCTGACTTGGTAAATGACCAGAGTGCTGATCTAACTCTATTTTCTACTACTAGAAGCTCTTGTAAATAGGGAATATCTTTTAAGGAGTTATGGATATTGACATCTCTATTGTAAAGAACTTCAGTATACTTCTTCCATTTTTGTTTAATCTTCTTTGAATCACTTATTTGTCCACTGACATCCTTTAGCATATCAGTTTGAAGTTGGAACCTCCTTCTGAGTCTGGAAATCTTTTGGAAGACTTTCCTTATTTTTCCATATCTGTTTCCATTCATATATCTTCACAAATGTTGTTATAATACTGTTTCTTTTCTTTCCTAACAGTTGTCTGAAATTCTCTGTGTTAAGATCCTTCCTGAGATCTTTGTCTTTCTTTGGCTTCCCTTCTCTTCTTGGTAATTTCCATTGTATTATCTTCTGACTGAAAGTGTCTACTTCCAGTACATTTCAACTGACTGATGCCTAAGATTTTCATCAATTCATTTCATCTTTCATTGTGTTGAGCTTTCCTGTGCTAATGCTACTTACATTCCATGTTGCCACTGTAGTTCAATTTTTGCAGCCTTGGATTTTCTTTTTCTGCATGGCAGCATCAGCAACTAGACATCTTTAAGGCTTTAATCAAGGTATATCCTAAACACCATTAGTATTCTGAAAGATTTCAACTCTTTCTCAGAAGCATGTTGAATGCCATATGACTTGAGGGGCCCAACATTCAGTACTATACTGTATTATCAATCACTTTATCATGTCTATCCCTGGAGTTCTCTTGGTAAAATATAAGCATGCTAAAATAAAATGTAGTAGTGTCTACTGTCACTGAAGTGATCATTTGCCTCCAACATCTTCTTATATCACTGCTGCCTGATATAAGTGCCCCCTTGCTTTAGCTGAAGCAGCTAGGATGACCTTCACACCTTGGATGACCCTACTAAAAGCATATAATCTTGGCATATGCTTCTGGTGTCCTTCATTCATTCCTCTCAGGACCTCCCCACCTTACCATTTTGAGGCAGCATAGCAGGACCTGGGGGGAGGGGGCTGATTCAAAGTAAGCTGATGCAAAATAAGTCTGTGAAAAGCAATTCTGAAGGGCTAGAGACACAGCTAAAGCAAAATGGTTTAGCTACTCCAAACCAAGAATTAAAAGTGGCATACTGTTTTGTGGATCTGTTTCAAACGGTGACTCCATTAGCTCAAATTACCCTGCTGAAACTTTGTGAATTCTAATTCAGACTATAATCTTACATTTTAAAACATTGATTTAGGAGAATTTAATATTCAGAGAATGGGGAGATGAGATTCAAAAGGGGAAATATACTGATATAAAAACCACCATGGTTAGTTTCACATGTTGTGCCAATCCAATGCCCTACCTCCTACCCCCAAAAACAAATTATGGTTTAATGCATAATAGTAGCATAAACCCAGCGACTATTAAGTTTGTATTAACCACACATAGAAATTATACCTGGTTGTCCTGGAATGTTGAAGCGGAACTTTGAGCCATACTCAGTGGACATGAAACGAGGTCCCTACAAATACAACAGAGAAGAAGACCATGTTCTCTGGAATTAGCCCACTCTTACCTTGCCAATATATTTTCAAACTCGCTAAGCCATATCCCACCTACTTCTCTCTCTATGAGTAAACCAGTTATTCTTGCCACACTTAAGTATCACTAGTTCTCTTGCTCTTTCAGAAAACTTTGTCCTTTCTCCTTGGCTGCCTTTCATGTCTGGAACTTCCTCTCCTAATTCCTTTGCAATGCCAGCTGTTGTTTTCTATAAACCAGTACCGAAAACTCACATTTTCTGTGAAGTCTTTGACACAGCTCCTAGTCTAATTCCCAACTATAATGAAGCCTAAGCAAGTGTAGTTGGAATTATCTTATTTGCAGCTGCTGATAAGCTTCCAAGTCCAGTTCAAAGTACTGCTTATCGCCTATAAAGCCCTTTGTGTGTATTATCCTCAGTGCATTTGAGACCACCTGCTCCAGGTGTCAAGCAAGGTGGGATGGGATGCTTTAAGTCCCTGTGCCCTGGGAACTTTGGTAGATGTAGGCCCAAAGAATGGTCTTTTCATTTTCAGCTGCATCACTCTGGCAGAGCTTACCCCCTGAGATCAGGATAGCCCCCATCCTGATAGCATGCATGAAAACAGTTCCCTTCCGTAGGACCTTTGGTGAGAAGAATCCCAACTAGATATATAGTAATATGAGGTGTAGGTCAATAATGTATTGGTAGTTGTTTTTATTTGTTTGTAGATTTTACAACTGTAAGCCATCTAGAATATATGAAGTAGTTGGCACACAAACGCTTTAATTAATTAGTTAACTTGTTGGTTGAAAGAAACTCAGTGGGTTTCTGAAACAGAAGTTGGGATGTTAGACCAGGAGAGGACTGGGGAGACCAAAGTCCAAATTGTTCTTCAGTCATGGCAACTCACTAGGTGGCTTTGGATTAGTCACTTTCTCCCAGCCTAATCTACTCCCAAGGAATGCTGTTGTGTAGAAAAAATAGGAAGAAGGAATGTGATGTATGCTGCCTTGAGCTCCTGGAGGAAAAGTGGGTTATACATCTAACAAACACATTAAATCATTTTTTAAAATATATCCCATTTCAGACAAGTCAAATTCTGCCATGCTAGTTCACCCTAACCCCACCATCTATCCATCATATCCACTTCTTTTACTGGCACTCTATTTTCCTGGCCTTTTGACATGACTGTTCTGCCTGGAAAAATAATTTGTAGCTTTTTAAAAAATTAAAATGCATCTAAGAAAAGATATCTTGCCTTGTCCTATGATGTCTGTGCTATAGCACATTGAGGAAAGCCAGGGCTAACTCACTATCTTTTCCTGCTTGAGCAGAACAGCTAGTGCCTACTCTGGCCACTCCCCTCTTTTCATGATTAAGTGTTGAGTACCCAAGTTTAACCAAATTGTTCTGACATTTGAGGCAGAAAATCCCATAAATGCTTCTCCCCCAATATCACCACCACCACCACCACACATCAGATCTCTAATCCTTTGCTGCCTTCCAAGGACATCTCACTCCAATTATTGGAATCACAGACTCACATATCTTGCATTTTCCACCTCAACTGAGCCTCTTCCAAACGAGTTGTGGAGGACAGGGACATGCCTGGGCTCTAGCCCTATCACAGCTTCAGGTCCTTCGTTGGATGTGTCAAAATGGACTTTTTTGACCTGCAATATCAAACTCAGTTGACCTCTGAGAAGAGCAAAGAGTTAAAACTTAATGGGACAAAGGGAAGGGAAATGCTGCTGAACCTGATCTAGGGAAGGGGCAGAGAAGAATGCCAAGGAGGACAATCCCAAGACATTTTGCTGCATGACAGAAGACATTGTGGCATCCAAAGTCCACGTTAAGTCCGCAGAGTCTGTTTGGTGTGGGCAGATATAACAAATTTAAATAAACAAATAAATAATAATGGGGCATAGATTCAAAAACTGCTCAAGTTCTTTTGGCATCCAAAGCAGAAAACACCCCCTTTCTGTCAGTGAAACTCCAATACTTTTAAATAACTATTTGCTGTCTTTGTGTGATATCCAAAATCAGCTGCCTGAGGCAAACACTTTCCTCCATTGATAGGATGAGTCTTGAAAGCAATCTGGAAGAGCAGAAATGCCAAGACAACATTTTCTAACTGGTTCCTTAGTTGAAATTGTGGGCTGAATCTTATCTATGGTCGAGTCTTGATCCCAAAAGATGAGAAGGCAGTGAGGTAACAAATTTTATAGTCCTCTGTCTCATTCTGCTTTTTCTTTTTCCTATATCTTTTAAACAAAATAATACAAATTGCAGTGTATCACTTTTGAATAAAGGTTTTAACCTCTATGTTGCAATGAACATTTTGAAAAACAAGGTTATGATGTTTTCCTAAAAGCCCGCAACCTAGAAGGCAAACTGTATTTTGCTCGTAATACAACAATGTTGTAAAGCAAGTCCATAATTATGAAGCCTTTGCATCTGGCAAAACTAAGCATCAGTCCCACTGCCCTTTTCCTGTCTGGATAGAATGTGAGCAGTTGCATATTCACAAGGGTAGCTGAGGTCTTGTTAAAGGTGAGGTGAGGCTGGATCCATCATTTTTGTCTTTCCAAAGGTCCCTCAAGACCTGGTTGTGCCCTCAGGCCTGGGGACCCCAGGGGACTGGCGAACTAGTGAGGTGGCTCTGTTACTACTAACATCCCTTCACCCACTACTTCTTTTTCTTAACTTTGTTTTTTTAATAGTTTTTAATGTTTGATGATGATGATGATGATGTTATTGTTTTAGGTATGTATTAACTGTTTTAGCTTTGTTGTACGCCACCCAGAGTCACTTGTTTTGTGAGATGGGTGGCTATATAAATTTGACAAACAAACAAACAAACAAATAACGTTTGGGTGTTTTCAGGGATCATATTAAGTCACAGTCTTGTTCGAACAGCTCTCTTCTATCACAGCAGTTTCACTTGAATATAGACCAGCATAATATGCGCATACGTACAACAGCTCTCATTGGATCTAGTTCTAAATCTTGATGACGATGATTCATTACTGCCTTAATATTATTTCTTTCAAAAGGGAGAAGGACTGTAGAATGCACTTGGGGAAGGGGCAGGACAATGCAGTCTTTCACTAACCAACTAGCCAAACTTCGTTTGGCAGTGCATTCTCTACACTCAACTCTTGGGTTGGTAAGTAAGTAAATCTCCTCCCATGTAAACAACTCTATTTTCATACCATCCCAATTTTATGACCAGATCTGAAAAAGTCAGAACAGTCTGAAACAATATCAACTTGGCTTTAAAAAAGAGTAAGCAAGTTTGTGGAAGATTTAATCATCTGGAAGTCTCCTGTGGCCACTTTCAGCAATCAGGTGCTCTAAGGGAAAATTGGATTTCCCTAGAATCCCATTCATGATTGTTGACATTGAACCATTTAGAGGTAGAAGACTGCAGAACTGTAGTTTCTGCAAATGAGTTTTCCAGATGTTGTTTGACAATGCATATATGTGCACGGTTTCTCCCCATGTATACACAGACACACAAACATACACATGTCTGAGACATTTCTGAAATGTTGTCCCATTTGTGTATTGTACAGACAGTGCATTAAAAATGAACCGAGTAACTTATATAGGATTATGCTATACATAGTCATTTCTATCGGTCCATTTGCAACATCAGATTTTAACTCTCTTAGTCATCTTTGTTCATTCTGAATCCTCACACATTCTCACCTAATCTTATAAATTTAGCAATTTTGCTTCCACAGTCTTCACCTTGCATGACAGTAGACTGCACAGGATCTTGTGACTATGCAAAGAGAAGCCCCAATTATCAAAAGATTCAGTATTCCCCCTCCCAATACACACACATTATATTTCAGTATTGATCCACATTTACAATGCAAGGGAGCCTAAGCCAGTATCAGTGGACACTGTTACTGCTGTTTTCAGGAAAACATACATCCATAACACAAAGACAGAATGTAAGTTCAGAATACTTACTGTTTTAGTTGTGGGAAAAGTTAGGGGCTTTTCTCGAACATACCCACTGCCTGGCTGATGTACACTCCAGGGAAGAGGATACTTCCCATCTGGGAGTTGAAGAGGCTGGAAATGTTTAGTGGTTGTTGATTCATAGTTATCCTGGAGGAGTTTCCTGGTTTAGGGAAGATAACATACATGTATCCTTTCTTCTCAGATCAAGAAAACTTCTGATTTCCATCCCAAAGGCAGTTATGAATTTTGCTCATATCCCCAAATTGGAGAAGACTCCTAAGAATACCATGGGCAGCCAAGAAAACAAGCAAATGAATCATCAAATAAATCAACCCAGAGTTCTCATTCAGAGCAAAATGACAAGGCTCAAATTATCCTATTTCAGATACATTATGTGAAGACCTAGCTCTCTGGAAAAGGCTGCAATGCTGAGAAAGGTGGAAGGAAAGAGAAGAGAACAACTAGCAGCAAGGTGGATGGACTTAGTTATAGTGATGATGAGTGTACCATTGGACAACCTGAAGGACCATTGTTACGGAGAAAATCCATTAATGAGTTCACTAAGAGTCAACACCGATTTGATGGCACATAATCAAGTATCTCCAAAAGACAACTGATCAGCGGCAGAGGATATGTGAAAAGCGTCTGTTAGTTACCCAATCCTTCAGTATTAGTTCTAAGGGATATGACTCTCCCAGCAAGTCCAGATAGCTCTTATTTCACTTCTGCCTCCAGAGAACCCTTGCTTGTAAATTAGCAATCAATTTCAAGCTGAAGGTTCATCAGGAGAGGTGAGTGTTTCAACTGTTCTCCTGGAATGTGCAACACATCCTTCTCATCACTCAGTCCAAAAAGCTGTTGGTGAAGATCCTGGACTGGATGATGCAAACCTGGATTTGAAGTATACACTGACAGTCTTTCACAAAAGTCTTTTGCAACAATTTATTTAGGGATCTCCCCCTTGTTGTCAGAAAATATTCTCCTCAACAATACAGCCTGGCTTTGATAGTAATAGAATGTCTCACCTACTGTCATTGCTGGATCATAATATGGCAACATTAGCCACATATTCAGTGCCAGCACTTAATATATGAGACTGATGACTGTACTCACAGCAGTCTATAGACTAGAGACAAATCCAGTGGTTGACTATAGCATGGCTTTGCCTGAGCATCCCAGCACAAATCAGTTTTTGGAGTGTACCATGGCCTAGAGTGCTTTATAGAAACCCTTTTGGTTGTACAGTTCTGGAGAATGGGATTCAGGACCAATCTACCAATATAAGAGAATCCAAAGCTTCACTATCTGAAACCACTATGGTTTCATATTATCCATTTTAATCTTGTCTTCTTGAGACAGGTAATCAATTTTATAACCTCAAAGGCGATGTCCAGATGTAAATAGCCCATATTAAATAATTTCTATACATGAACAGTTTGAGAGTTTTTCCCGTGTTCACCACACAGCACATCACCATGTTCACTTTCTGCAAAACTGGAGTGACCTGTTTCACCAGCTTAGTAGAAGTCACATCCAGCCTGCTGCTCTGAATGAGAGTTATCAAATGCCTCCTTATCAGGTATCTGTAGTCCAGTGTTGTCCAAACTTGGCCACTTTAAGATGAGTGGACTTCAACTCCCAGAAT